ATGCATAAATGAAGAAACTCAAGACTTGGGTCTTTGTATACTTTACGTCTCACATGATCCTTAATTTCTTATAGGTGTTTATTGGATTCTCCTTTCCTAGTTATTTTGTTAGACAAACTTTTAATATCGTCAGTTTTTTATTTGGGATTCCTATGCTTATATGGGTAGTCTGTGTCCCAAGGCAGCTCAGCTATGTATCATTAACCACTGCTTTCATATTCATTCTGAAGAATACCACCAGTTGACTTTAATTTTGGTGTGTAGATGACGTAATTTAAAGCTACCGCATTTTGAATATTAGGAATTCCGTCTGCTGCAGTTTCTTCTAAAGTTGAGGGTATTTCTTGTTAGAAATTTTGTATTTGGTCCTTTTATTGTAATGTAACTGTTGTTTTCTTAATTATTATCCTTTAGGCCTCGTTTGATAGGGAGGACTAACAGAGTTTTCAGGCATAGGCAATGATCTTTCTGTGTTGGCCTCTCGTGCATGTTTCTGATGGCCGCTACTATGGCGGTTTGCTCAAGTAATTCATATCTTTCATGGGAGTCGCTAGCAAGTTAATAAATGTCATTACTTGAACTGTGTTCAGTATTTTAGGGTATGTTACGAAGGCGCCTTGCATATGTGTCTTCAGCATGAAGTCAGGGATGCTGAAATGGATACATTCCACTGTATTTCGTTCTTCTGCAATACAGTCTGTGGATGAGGGGATAAGCTAACTGAGTTTCCGGCGTTGCTTATGATGTTGGTTTATCTGATACAAGGTGGCATCCCTCGGCCCCTGTTTGGTCAGCACCCAGAGGGGCATTCCTTTTCGGGACCTAAACCTGGTAGGTTGTTTAAAGTTTCATTCTTCTAACTTTTTCGTATTCTTTTCCGGATAAATGTTCTTCTTCTTCTTCTTCTTCTGGCATTTGAAGCAACATATATAAAAATAGGAGCTTGTGAAATAATTGAATTCATGGACAGCCGCCTCTATCTCCTTCGCAAAGTTGACCTTGTTTTATATTTGTCCAGGGGCCGTCAATATTTGACGAATGATTTTTTATTTTTTCCTTTTTATAAAAATGAACCAGCTTGTGGCTTTGCCACAGCAGTCCACCATTTCAAGGGCTGGAAAGACTCATGTAAGCATTTCAGTCTCTTCTTGATCATCATCATATGATTCACCAACGTCAAGAATCGATAAGTATGGAATTCGTCCCCAACCACTACGTCACGCATGACAGATCTATCTTCTTTGGTGGGGGCAGTCGCTATTGCCGGCCTTCCACTTATCCAAATAAATGTATGTAATGTATGGATTGTGGAATTTGTGCAACTACCTCTTTGTAGGGTTTGTAATTTAGAAGACCACGCGTTGTGCAAAATTTAGTGTGAAGTTGACATTGTATGAAATTAGTACCAGACGATACTATGCGAAATTAATATATGAAATTGATGGAAGATGTCTGTTCGTGTTGGAGATTTACGTATACTGCCTTCTCGTGTTCTTGTTTTGTTTTTGCTTATTTAGTAAAGTGCCATTTATGTGGATTTGAACTTGTGAGTATACATTACGAGGAAAACCTCAAATTTACAAGAAGAGGTGTATTTCCCCATTCATATCCCTTTCTTCATGTAACGTGACAAGAGAGTTACTGAGGAGGAGACATACCTGCTTACACCACCGTAGAATGTTGCTGATCAAACGATTCAAAATGAAGGATTGCATCATTGAACGCTTGGATCGTATCAGTCGTCTGACTATCGCAAAATAGGAAACTCTCTGATTTTGGTCCCAACTAACCCACATTACGATGACAAAAAAACTAACCCACATTACCGAATTATCTCCTGTGGTCGTGACTTGTGAACAGTGAGCAAGCACCAACAAAAGCCAAAACCACAGCCATAATTATGGGGTAGAAGATTCAGGTGGCATTTATGCATTAGAAAGTTGAAATGGAGTTTTTAAATTCAAAAGTATGAGATGAGTCATTGTCTCTCTCTAGTTTTCTTTTCAAGAAGAAGAAAAATTTCGGTAAAACATCCTGATCAGATTGTACTACATGAAGTTGGATAGTGCCCAAAGACAATAGGGTCTAGTATCCGACCATCCAGCTGATCATATTGTCTTATCTAAAGTTCTCTATACTCTAACAAGCAATGCTCTTCTCTTCTCTTGGATATTACACGATGAAAGGGCCATGTCATTTTGGTTTGGAGTTCAAATTAGGGTGGTGCTATCCACAACCCTACTTTTACCTCTCATGCACCCTCTGTAAATTTTTGCTATTTAGATTATCTTCAATTCATTATATCAGACGACTGAAAATTGAGAGACATGTGTACACTCAAATTAAGAATAATGCGTAAACTGTATGAAATTGATGAGGGCATGGAAGGAATCATGAATCATGGAAGATTGGAAATAAGAAGAGAAGCACGCTTAAAGACAAGGAGCCATCGATGATGCCCTCTGTTTCTTCAGATGGTTCCCTCTCCGTATTCATTCTTCACAGAGAGAGAGAGAGAGAGAGAGAGAGAGAGAGAGAGAGAGAATTTTACAGCAAAGACACTCTCATCATTTAACCTTTGCCACATTTTTCAGGCCAAAATCATTTCGTTTTAAAAAGGATTATAGTTAATTAATTAAGATTAAGCATCCTGCATTCTCATAATTCTATCATGTTGACAATTTGGGGCCACTTATTTCTCGCATCTAATCTGTGATTTGACCATAAATCTTTAAGGTAGTTAACTTTCTTGAGACGTAAGATGAAGAAACATTTTTCCTGTCAAAATTTGCGTTTAGGGCATTCAAACACTCCACTGTCATGATATCTGGTTTGACCACATGAAACAAGCATATCGTGAAGACATTTTTCAATGTAATCGGAACATATAATGGTAAACTACGTGTCACTCTACAAATGATTATGATCACAATAAAAAATTTCTCCATAAACCCTCGTGAAAGGGAGAAACTTGCAAAGTCTTATGTTCTCAAACGACCAGACTAAGTGGATTATCAGACCAACTTATAAAAGAAGGTTACTCTTATATTGAGTTAGTTTTAACATAAATAAATTAGGTGACATGTAAATATAGAGCGGTGATTTTATTTAAGGATAGAGAGACACTCCATATAATCTAAGTGTTGGATGAAAGAATTTCTCCATGAGAGTGTATACTCCTTTGTTTTATTAGACTGGAAGATCTTGTGACAACTAAAGACCATTTAATAATTTTCTTTTCCATTTTTTTCATTTTTATTTTCTTCTGTCTAACAAAAGTTTTTTGAAAACTATATATAGAACAGAGGAATCAATGTTAGTGCTTCTTTGCAAGTGCTTTTAATTATAAAAAGCGCTTTTAAAGAAATTATTTTTAAGTTTCAAAAAGCACTTCAATTGTTTTTTCATGACTCATTTGCATTTTTACTAAAAGTTTATTTAAAAATATTTTTATCAAAAACGTTTTTAATTATTTTAAAAATACTTTCAAACGAGCCATTAATTTATAAAGTTATAATCACAACACATCATAAAGAAGCCTCCAAACTCTTCTCCTCCAGCCCTCCACCAGACATTGCGTCATCAATGAGCAAAGCTGAAAGTTGAACAATACATAAAGTACACGCAATTCGATAACGTTCCAAACTATATGGATAACAAGGGAACGAGGAGAGTATTAATTTAGACCAAGATGGTTGGGCGGCTCAGACTTTTTGTAACCTTTGAATCCCGGCAGCTTCTTCTTCTTGTGGGCTGCTCTTCTTCCAATTTGCAAAAGTATTGGTCGCACATTTCGGGAAATATCCATTTTTTTATTTAGAAATTGAAATAGTTAATTACTTGAAATATATTTTTCTTCTTTTTTTTTATTTTTTATTTTACGAGTTTCTGGAGGCATCGACAAAGTCAAATATCCCTAATGGGGATGTGGATACCTCATCGTTTGGCCGTACGCACCTGACTTTTCCTGCAAATTATGTTTAAGCACATTACACTCTATCTTTAAAATAATAACAATACTAATACACCACTAAACTATTTTTAAATTAAGGGTAGAGCTATCCATCCATCTTTTTTTTATCTTTCACGTGTGTGTGTATATATATATATATATATCTCAATTTTTATCACCTGATCGAATGAATTAAAGATGATGAAAAGAGATAAAGTAACAAATGATGTGTGGAAAATAGAAAAGAGATGTGTGGATAGCAAATTAACAGCATCCTAAATTAATATTCAATCTTACTTAGTTATTACACCCAATAATCAACTATGGGATGGATTAATGCTAGAATTCACCCAATAATCAACTATGGGATGGATTTATGCTAGAATTCTTGATATTGTCTAAGTCAAGCCATGTGTTTTGATCAATATGTTTTCAATCTAGAAAAAAAAATTATTTTGAAAATGAAATTTTGAGTGAAATATATTGATTTTCTATAGTATGAATACAAGTTAAGTATGATGACATATGAATGACATATGACTTACATCATGAGGATTGTATTTCCATGTGAGTGTATTAAGTATCTATTTATATTGCATCTGAACTTGAAATGCGCTATAAGAAAAAAAATTGAAGAAAATAAAAAATCAAGCATGTGATACATTAAGGTGGGGAATTGATTTTCGTTACACCTTTTTTCTCTCCCGTGCTCAATTTCTTATATTTTTTTATCTTTGGAGTGAGCAAATTAAAAAATAAAAATAAAAATCAAGTGACAAAAATAAAATATATATGAATATAAGGAGAAAAAATGTATACAAAAATCATTTCTGAGGTGTATATTGGAGAATACGAAGAATCTTATGGGGTAGATAAGTATTAAGTATGACATCAACAATACCATATACATTACGTATCAAGAAACACGGATCCACTAATTGATGGAGTAAGCTCTTTACTAACAAAGTCAAATAAATTCCATTTAAAATAAAATAAGGATTTTACTAAATACAAAAATAAAATTAAGGATTAATCCAAGTCTTTGGACTCACAAAGCTTCGGCCTAGGATGCGTTATAAATAGGGGTCCCCCTCCCAATGGTTGGTGCACTATCATTCGCTCACAAACGCCAGCGCACGCACAAAAGAGAAACAAAGAGAAAGAGAGACTCTTCCATCAATGGCCACCAAAATCTACATTGTGTAAGTTTCTCTCTCCGCTCTCTCTCCCTCTCTCTCTCTGTCTCTCTGCATGTTGGTGCTGAGTGATTCATTAACATGTTTTAGTGCCAAGAGTGGAAGATACTGGTGTTTCTGGTCCATTTTAGGCTTTCTGAGTTTTTTTCATTGACTTATATATGAACAAAGATGAAACCTTTTCTGGGTTGATCAGTGTTTTTATTTCCTCCCATATTGTGATTTCTGGGTTTTGTTTATTTCATTAAATTAATAACTATGTATGGTCTTTGATGAATAAAGGTGAAATCTTTTTTTTCTGTGTTGATCAAGTTTGCTTCTTGGGAGGTGATGGATTGAGTTGTTGTGAGTTAAGTAATTAAAAAGATTGGCATTTTGATTGAGATGGTTGGTGGGGAATTTGCATTGGTATTTTTTGTTGACTTGTTTTTGGGATGAACGTATATTGGAAGATTTAGTTGTAAATGATCACTCCTTAACATCTGCTAAGGTTAATCAATTTATTGTTAATTAATTTACTTTGGGAGTGCTAATTTGTTTCCTCAATCTTCCTTAGGAAAAGAAAATACAACTTTCTGGGAGAATTTCCTCTTGTTTAATCAAAATCAAACTTAAAGAATCGGGGTAGAAAGTATTGCAATTTTTGTATCGTCCCATCGATTTCAGTTTATCATCCAGTTCTAAAAAGATTAGGGGAAATTTATCTGCTCTCAAAGAAAAGTGAGGTTGCGGCTAATGGCCTTAAGTGTCTAGCTTGTATTCTTCTAGGTATTTTTAATGTTTTAAATTTCCAATTATTTGTGTTCTTGATCCTGGTCTCGAGTGGGGTGAGGGTAGCGGGAGACAGAGGCCTGTTTTTCTTCAATTTTCATGATCGATGCATGAAAGTGAACTTTACGCTACCGTGTGTATCGGTCAATAACTAGAAAAGGAGGGATTAGTAATTGGAATAGATTGAAAGACTTGAGGTTTAAAGGATACTGTGCTAATGTCCAGTAACAACCGGAAAGTGATTGTGATATCTGACCTACCTTTTGAAATCATAAATCGAGAGAGAGAGAGAGAGAGAGAGAGAGATGCAAGGCCTCTGCTTTCCTGCTTTCCATGGTCCCAGAATGCATCATTGTTATGCATCTTTCTTTCTGTTCATATTGATATGCAATTATGCATATTAGTTCCTTTCAACATATACATTTGCTTCTGAACTGTTTTACATTTCTTCTATTTTACACTCTTGTGAAATGATCGAACACTTAATCATACGGGTGAAGTTTATGGCTCTTTGAAGGTAGTGTAATCATGTTTTGTCATTGGCAAGCTTGGTTCAGAGCTTCGTCTCCCATTGGTCATTGTCCTACCATATTCTTTTGGCCAGTTGAATAAAATCATTTTCTGTTGTAGTACTACAGAACTTTCATTTTACACCACATTCATTCGATTATATCATGTAATGAAAGAATGCGCCAGCAACTTCAAGGGCAAAATCATGTTTTGCTTTTGTTTTCGAAGAAGATTGTTACAATTTAGCACCAAATGTTAACTGCTGTTACAAATTTGAGTTAATTTTAAAATCATGCTGTGCATTTTACAGGTACTATTCTACATACGGACACGTTGCCAAGTTGGCACAAGAGATACTGAAAGGAGCTCAATCTGTCGAAGGAGTAGAGGCCAAACTATGGCAGGTACAAAATTGTCACTCTCTTTCATCGAATGAACATGCTAAATTATTACAGCTACAGAAAACATTTGTTAGCCAGAGTACTATTTTGGGCTACATTAATTTTGTTCTTAGCAAGTTGTCTCAGGAAATGGTTTTTTTTTGTTCTTTTTCTTTTTACCCCTTTGAGAAACATAAACGTTCCTTTCACATTTTGGCAACAAGCAATTGTAGACTTGTAGTTTATCCCAAAGCGGCGCGTTCTTTCAAAATGTCTAGTTTGATCTTTGATATATGGAAACTAAGGTTCTAGAATACTTAGATGTCCAGAATCGCTAGCTTACTTAAACCTCACATTTTGGTTTGCGCAGTTTAGAAGTCGGGGAATCATGTAGTTTTGGATAAAGATTAAGCTGACTCGAGTGTGTACTCTTCATGATGATTTGGGGATTTGTCTTTTAAAGGGATATTGATTTCTCCCCTGCAAAATTTCAACGTAATTAACCCGGTTCAATATACTTGGCCCCTTAACAGGTACCAGAAACTCTGCCAGCAGAAATTCTTGCAAAGATGGGTGCACCACCAAAGAGTGAAGTGCCTGTTATTTCACCTGAGCAACTTGCTGAGGCTGATGGGATAATCTTCGGTTTCCCTACCAGATTTGGAATGATGGCTGCACAATTTAAAGCATTTTTTGATGCAACTGGAGGTTTATGGCACAAAGGTGCACTTGCAGGCAAGCCTGCTGGACTTTTCTACTGCACTGGATCTCAAGGTGGTGGACAAGAGACTACCCCGTAAGTTTTCAGCTAACATGAGTATTTCTTTCCGTTAGGTGTCTTGATGTACAAGAATAAAACGAAAAGGGATTTCTTGAACTGTTTCTCGTTCTATAGCTATTGCGCTGCACTTTACTGAAATACTTGCCATGTGATTTTTCTTGACCTGTTTTTGATTTATTTGAAACTGTGCAGCTTGACAGCCATTACTCAGTTTACTCACCATGGAATGATCTTTGTCCCAATCGGATACACGGCCGGAGCTGGCATGTTCGAGATGGAGCAGGTCAAGGGTGGCAGCCCCTATGGTGCAGGAACTTTTGCTGGGGATGGCACAAGACAACCTTCTGATCTAGAACTAGAAATTGCTTGCCACCAGGGAAAGTACTTTGCTGGCATCGCAAAGAAGCTTAAAGCATCTGCCTGATTATGATGATATATTACACAATCGCTGTTTAGCATTTGATACTTGCATTTCTTTTGTTCTTGATTCTGAGTCCAGTTTTCAATTTGAATTTTCATGTTTTCGTAAAGAATAATTGGCTGTGTCGAATGTATTTGTTGTAACAAGTTTTATGTCGAATAAACTGTGCCTATTACTGAAGATTAAAGTTTGTATACCTTATACAATGTAAAATTTACTGGAGACTAGGTCTCTTACCAGTTGTTACACCTTTCATTTTAACTTGGATATAGCATTGGCTGTGGGAAGTTTCACATTCGGATATCAAATGAGGCCAGTCCTCCCATGTAAAACAGAAGTTATCCCACGAACGCTAAGGTGATGCAACATAGCTTTGAATTTGGTGAGCTATCCAATCCAATACACAATCATGGCCTAAGCCTCAGCATTCCAAACAACGTAACTCAGAACCTTGTAAGCTATCCAATCATATGCACCAAACATGGCCTACGAGCCACAATTATCAAAGGCACGAGTGGCTTCCCATAGCTTCATCATCGTGCACCTTATGTTGCTGAATATCTACATGATGGGTTATTGAGTGTGGTCCATACGATCTTATCACATTCACTTCAGGTCCAGGATATTCTAGTTATGGTCATGGAGTTCATAATACGCAGAAGGCGTTTGTTGTCTCACGTTTACAGGAATTTTTTTTTTTTTTGGTTACATTGGAGGAATCGAATATTGAGCTCAAAGGGTTACTTTCACAGGGCTTTTCATTCTATCTCATGGGATGTTCATCTAAAAGAGTAAATTAGGCACCCACATAAAATGGTGAGCCCATAGCCAATGGCTGCTAACGAGGTATCACTTGGGCTCAAACATAAGTAGATGTATTTCAAATTTTGCTGTGTTTTTTTTAACAACGTAATTCTCTAAATTACTCTTAACGTTTAAAACGAAACTCTTTAGAAGCTGGAAAACGTCAAGGAGAAGACAAAAATAGAGTTTTACATTGATTAGCCAAAACAAGAAAAAGAAGTATTGATCCATTAAAGTAAAGATTTGTAATTGCCGGAAGTCGTAGATTTTGCTTTATTTATAACAACACAACACAATGATGCCAAGATGCTTTCCTTTTAAGTATTCGTTTTATGCTTCTTCTTTTCAAATAAGTAAACCATAGCAAGGGATTAAGATCCTCTTTAGATCTCACACTCCAGAGCTTACGGACCGAGCAACTTGGAACATTTAAGAGAGAGAGATATTTGAACGTTAGAGAGAGATTGTGTGTGAGGTGGGTTAGTAGAATCTACTAATAGAGACTGCAAGATTTAAATTGAACGGTTCAAATTGCTCAATACGCAGACTCTTGAGTGTGAAATCAGGATAGGATCTCAATCTAGTAAAAATAATTAAAGAATTCCATTCTTCCATCGAGAGAGAGAGAGAGGAGGTAGCTATAGCAAATGGTATTGATCCCGATGCTTCAAAGTGTTCGGTATCACACCCTTTCGCCGATCAATTTCACAAGTCACGAAAAGAGTGGGCGCCAAGAGATACCAGTCCCCAACAGATTTTGAACCATTAAAGTACCTTCCTTGTGCTTTCTCTCATGATTAGTCATCTTCGATAGGGATTCTTCAATTTAAGCTTCTTCTTGATTAGGCTCTTTGTTTCAAAATTTGTTCAAAGCAACTTTCAACAAACAAAGACTAGTATATACATACATACATACATACATACATACATGCATGCATCTTAGAGCATCTCTAAATAAGATGTCATTTTTTTTAGTACTTAAGATGTCAAATTTTAGATATAAATCTTAAATTTGACAGCCTATATGGCACTTTGACATTTTTTAGAGTTTTGTTATCCACCCGATATGTCAAATTAAACTATTATAATAAATATTTTAAACAAAAAACAATAATAAAATTAATAAAATACATTTAATAATCAATTAAGAAAATTTGAACCTGTTGTCAATCTTGGCAACAAGGGTGAGGGAATTCATGTCATGTCACATTAGATTTGACTTTTTGATAAAAAAACATTGTTGCTGTCTTTTTTTACTGTTAATGTTGATTTGGATATTTTGACATTTAACAAAACAAAAGCTCTTACATGGTATGGATCTTTTTGGAAGTTATAGCATATATATACAGTGACGAAACTAGGAATTGTTGGGAGGAGGGGCGAACTTAAAAGAGTGTAAGGTTAAAAAAATGGCAACAACCAAATCCTTTTAAATAGTATTGTCTTCCATAATTTATCAATACAAACAAATTTCAATTGTTGCCAGCGAGATTTCATGTCATAAAAATGTCACATAATAAACTTGTTATCAATAAAAGCAAATACATCTCTCTCAATATAAACAATCATGCTATTACTCAATCATTGATCTCCCATTTTGTACGCAATGGTGTTTTCACAACATTATGGCAGAAAAAACTCTCTCAACTGAAGCAGTTGCAGCCGGTAACACCGAAACCAATGTAAGAAGCTTATACGCTATCATATAGCTTGCACACCTCCCGATATTTATCAACTCCTTTGCAAGATCACTAATTCCTCCTAGTCTTAGATTCTTAATCCTAGAGTCAAATATACCATATGACTACTAACTAATTAAACCAAAAATTCAATTAATCAATACCAATAATCATATGAATTATTCAATATACCAAAATTCAATTCAATTAATCAAGAATCAAGAATTCAATTTTTACCTTAAAAAACAATTTCATTCATCAATAATCATTTATACGATTCATATCTATAATCAATAATCAATAACTATAGTAGTGTATTACTCTATGATTCTATATTAATGAAACAAAATTTTGTATTAACTAATCAATTTGTGTTCGTTATAATATAAATTAAGAAATTAAGAAAAAATAAAACATGAAAACCTTTACTTTTTTATTGGTTTTAAAAAGGGAATGGGGGACGTGTGAAGGCAGAGGTAACGGGGACCATTGGTCCCCACTTCAATTATTTTCTTTTAATCGACTAATTGAAACGCACCGTATGGTTAAGGATTTTTCAGGAAAAAAAAAAAGTAAAGTGCAGCAGGAATCCAAAAACTACAAAGCAGGTCAAACAACCATAACTTCCGACATAACTAGAGGGGCAGAATCACCGTTTTTAGGCTTAATTTCTGACAAGAGGAGGGGGCAAACGCCTCTCTTCGTCTCTATGTTACTTCGCCACTATATATATATATATATATGGAGTTAACCAATATAATTCGTGTTTACTGGACAGCACAAGTTTGTAAGCTCTATTGACTATAGTTGATCAGGAGTTTTGTACATATTAGGTTAATATTTGATATTATCAAATATGTCGTTTAGATTGCAAATGATGAGCCATAATTCTGAAAGTAACAGCACATATATAGTGTTACATCTGCACTGTTCGTGTTGGGAAAAGTGTGGAAAACTTTAACCCCATGCAGCCATGCTATGACAAAAGTTCCAATACATAAACAAACACCAAAAAAAAAAAAAAAAAAAGAAAAAGAAAAAAAAGAATAATTAAATCAAAGGGAAGCTGCTGGTTCTAGTTGCCACCAAGGATATAATTAATATTATATCTACTAATTTACTAATTAATAAAATTCTCTTTGTCAACAAAAAGATGATGAAAAGACAAATTAGTCTTCTATTACACAAAAAAAAAATTATGGACAATAATTTAATTTTACAGGTCTAAATTTTACTGCTTTTTATTGAAGCCTCACTTACTGATGATGTTAAAATATTTCCAATATTAAAAATAAAAATAAAAAACCCAAAAAAAAAAAAAAAAACCTCCCACTCCCCCACGTTCTCTCTCTCTCCCTCTCCTTCTCATTTGCTACAAAAATGTGTTCATACACACAATTGTGTAGGTAAATGCTAGTATAGATTATGGAATCGTAGAAGTTAAAAGATAATCAGCATTTTTTTCAAAAAATAATAATAATAATAATAATAATAATCAACACTAGAGGATAACGTTATTTTACCAAACATACGTTTATATTGCCAAGCAAATAATTGATGATTCAGGTTCACAACCTAATCAACACATAATGTATTTCTTCACAAACATGCATGCATGCATGTATGAGGTGTTACGCTACATATAATATAAGAAAATTAACTGAAATAATTATTTTACAAATTTTAATTGATAAACTCATCAAAATCAAATATTGATGACTTATAGATCATATTGATGATATATGGATTAAATACAAACATCATATCTATCAAAATATTAAAAACATATAGGTCAAATACGAAAAAACAAACTGATTATGCCAACTATTAAAATTTATAAATTCATCATTTCAACTAATTTTTCTTTACATGTTTAATGGACGAACCTTATAATTGCTTGGCCATTCCATAGGAAGAAATTGAAGGATAAAAACATATATTAATGTTAGGGTTGATTTTCACCCAAAATAAATAAATTGTTAGGGTTGATGTTTTACACGCGCAAATACATGCACTCGCGCATGCACTATCTTTCTATCTTTCTCACTCTCTCTTTCTCATGACCCATGACCAGATTCACCAGAAACCCTAAAAACAGGCACAGTGGGCCGCCCTCTGACTTCCCACTACCACATTCCAAACATATAAATTAAACAAATTGAAAAAGCGAAAACGCCAATCCAATAACCTCCACTCACACATCTTTCCCTCCTGTTCTTACAACAATCAACAATATATACATATATATATATACATTATATAAATCAATTAACTACAATTCAAATCGCTTTAAATCTATTTAGTTTTCTCTTCTCTGAGATAATGGAAAGGTGGTGGTGCCAACCCTCAACATACATGAACAGGAACAAAAGGCAGCTCTTTACACCCCATCTGCTAAATTCAGCTGTTGTCAACAACTTAATATCCCTAAACCCTAATATAATATCAACTTCCGCTAAATTTAGCACCTGTTCCTGTTCCAAACCCATCTCCTAACTAATAACTTATATTAATTAGTTTTACATAAAAATTGAAATGGTCTATAATATTTAATCGCTTGCTAGCCGTACATCGATCATTAGTCCTGCTAGCAGTTGGCTCAGTATGGACTTTAGTCTGTCGACCCTTACCAATTTGGCTTCTATTATATTATTAGGCCTTGGCTTCCTCAGCTCTTCTCTTCTGATCACCTGAAAGTTGCTCCAAATGATGGTGTCCAAAAATCAGCTGTGGTCTCATTAGCAACCGGGAATGTGCTTGAAATTGGAACCAAACAGAGTCCTAGGCTTTGTAGATCTTGTTGTGCTCCTTCCGAGGCCTCCTCCATTTTATCAGTACCCTGTTGCTGTTGCATGGGAGCTCCATTTTTCATATATGGAGTACTTAAAACCTGAAATATTACATAAAGAAAATCTTATATATCAGAACTAAGTCCAGACTTGTATAAAGAATTTCATTAGGTCTACCTTCTTTTTGAAGAACAACCCAGAAAACAAATTAATCAATTACTTATTTTGTTTCTGTAGGCAACTAGGGTTTCTTAATTTAACAAGTCTAAACCCGAAAAAAAAAAAAATAGAGTTACTAAAAGGAACGTACACTGACTTGATCGTGGAGGAATTTGATGTACTCAATAGCTTCGTGGAGGACAGAAGCTGTATCAGTCTGAAAAAGAAAAATAAAAAGGATTCAAGGTAAGTTTGATGAATTCCTCTATTTAGTAAATTAGTAAAGTGTTTTTTTTCTTGAAAAAGTAAAGAAGAAAACAACAAAACTCTACCTTTCCGAAAGGTGAAACCAATTGCTGGAGGGCGGTGATCCGATCCCCAAGCTTCTCTTTCCGAACCTAATCAATAACAAATTAATCAAGCTTTAATTAAAATTTTAAAAATCACTTTGACAAAGAAAAAGCTTGCTAGCTCATCAATCGATGGCTGCTGCCAAAAACTTTTGATTAGATATGTGTGTCGTACCTTAAAAGTCGGTAAGGGTGAAGGTGTTTCAATTCGAGCTCTTTTGAATACAGGTTCACAGGCGCTGCTGCTACTTTTCTTTACAACAGAGGAGCTTGAATCTTGGACACCTCCATTAGTATTGGCCTGAAATTTCGAAATTTCAACATCTAAATTGTTAGTCTCAAACCCTTTTGTCATACATATGGTCATAAACCCTAGCTAGCTAGCTATATGTTGAATAGGTAAACTGTAAGGTTCATTACTTACCTTGGTGGTAAAGTTGTTGGAATTGGGTTTCTTTTCATGAAAAGGTGACAGAGAAGGTGTTGTATACTGTGCTTGTGAGGAGGAAAACAGATCATTACTAGATCGAATAGTATTGTCTTGATTTAAAGCCGCAGGAGCGGGGGCGTTCCAGAAGGGTGTACTAATGTTATTGGAAAAGTGCAAGCTACTGCCACCACCAACAACAGGTTGTAACTGCTTTGGAAGCGCTGAGGGTCTTAGGCAACTGTTTGGAGAGTATCTCGGCGGCCAACAATTACTAGTAGGAGAAGATGATAATAACGAGCCATTTGAAAACTGATTGTTGTTGAAAACTGATTGTTGGGGTTGGGTTTGAGGTACTGGTTCAGAATCAAATAGAGTTTGCAACATTAAGGCTGAGGAGAAGCCGTAAGAATTAGCAGCTGATGACGATGAGCTTATAGGAAAGCCAGAAGACGATGGTGAACCTAATTGGTCTAAAGAGAAATCTTGATTCATGGGCTTGAAAACATTTATGAGAGAAGATGATTCTTCATCGCCTAGGGCGCCGGTGTTCAACTTGGTGTTCATACCCATATCTTCTTGGAGCATAGAATTATGAAAATTGCTCTCACCTCTTCCACTACCACTGCGACTACAGCAAGATAATTAAGATGATAAAAGTCAGTGATGTTGATATAAAATTCAATTTCCACATAAAGCTAATTAGTACTATATATGAATTCAATTTCCCAATCATTAAAGTTCATATCATATTGATTTTTTTTCCCTAAATCAATGAATAGAACTAAGACTAAATAATTAAGGGTTTTCTCATGCATGGATTTCAACTAATTAAGAAAAGTAGCTATTTAGCTAGCAAATGAATTAAACGAACTTACAGGAGCAAAGCTTGGTTGAAATCTGAGGGTGTTGAAGATAACGATGATGAAAGACCAAAACCTATCATTTGCAAGGTGGAATCATGATCAGGCTTTTGAACATCTTGATATTGATCAAAATTAGCAATAGAATTACTATGATCACCACCGTCATGGTCATCAGAAACCAAGTTATTAATCTCACCGCAGGAAGACCTTGTTGCCTTGATGTCCACCATGTCGTTGGGGTAGCCGAAGCCCCCCATATGATCATTAAAACCCACAGAACACGGTGATGCCGCCAGCACGTGTCTCGATGAACTCCACCATGAGTTGCCGCCACAAATCCTGGCCTGAAACTCCTCCGCCATAGTAGTATTCAGCTCAAAAGTATAACGCTTCGGTCACCTTTGTCCCTTGTTCTTAATTTGCCTCTTGGTTTGAGGTCTCATGAAGTAGAAGTATTGATCATATAAGAGTGAGAGGGAGGGGCTATAAATATACACACACACACACACACAGTAAGGAAATATGAAATATGGTTATGTGAGCTTTGCAAAGTTGCAATTTGTAAAAGTATATATCTCATACGGTTAGGGCCTTAGGGGATAGTAGATGCAAATTATTTTACGGGAATCCGGTTGACATTTTTTGAAGGGAGATGATTGGACAAATGAGAGAGAGCGTTCTGAATCGAATTTTCTTTGCTTTTTCTTTTAGCTTTGAATTTATTGTTATTTATTATATTGTATCCATATGTTTTTTATGCCCTCGTCTCTTGCCTTTCATTTTTTTAGAGTTATTTTATTCTATATTTTATATATTATTTTTGTGTGGAAAATTCTTATGGTGATGCTTGTGAATAAAGGGATGAATGATGATGATGATGATGGGGTTTGATCTGACCACCACCTCACTGTTTTAGACGAATAACTTGCTTCTTTTTAAATGGTCTGTGTTGAAATCAGACGGTTGAATTCAGATCAGGGTCTTAGAATAATAATGGAAAAGTCCAAGCCCTAGTATTAAAATCTCAAGATTAGGACCCATGGGGGACTACCGGACCACGTATAAATGATTATGGGTTATTAGGTTACGCTTCTATGTTTCGAATTTCTAATCCCACGACATCGCAAGGGGCGAGTGACGTTCAGAGTCTTCATATACTATTTGATCCTCAACAAATGTAATGTGGCACTTGTAATTTTGCATTTTTATTCGCATCTTCAATGTAGGATGATGAGTAGTTTACTGTTTAACTAAATTCAAAACAAAGTACTTGCTTGACTTGATTATAATCTCCATATAAAAGAGCGTTTAAAATGATGATCAGGGACATCTCAAACTACTTCAATCTAAAGAAGGCTTATTATATTAACATTCCACAAATTGTTGAATAAACTCTACATACTTAATACATCCCATATTTGCTTTTTCAATGAAAAATTATCTTAATACACCCCACATAATTCCCCATAATACCCTCACACCTCACATTCTCAATATACACCTTACATTTTCTACATGCACCCCATATTTTCTATAATCCCACATTTCTCAAATCTTATAAAGCTTTTGATTTGGACAAAAAATGCCAACTGGAATTTTGACAAAATATGCCGCCTAGGATTTAAAGCATATGTGGATTGTTTTCAATTCACCATTAAAATTAATGTCGTCTGTTTTTAATATTTGGTGGTCATTTTAGATGTTTAATTCTTCATGTAATCCTTGTGATCCCTAAAACATGAATACGAACATAGAAGCTTGAATAACGTAGCAAAAGTAAGATTAAATAATTATCGATGTTGTCAAAATCACTAAAACAATAAAAAATTTGAAGTCTTACCTCATTTGAAACTTCCGAAACATCGATTTCGTGTTTCATTCATCAAAAATAATTTTTCTCAATCAACATATTTGTAGTTTCATTGGTTAGGGTTTTGTTCAACAATGGAGTGTCAGAGAGATTTTGATCATTAAATTAGATAAATAATACGTTAAAAGTGATTTGAAGTGTAATTAGATTTTTTTTTTTTTTTACTTGATAAGGTCAAAATTATCATTGCATAATAGGGTAAATAAGTTATTTAATATTAAATTTTAATATGTGGTGCATTCAACATTTTGTAGAATGCTAATATAAAAAGGCTCGAAGAAATTGACATATGACAAAGCAAACCTAGCGACTGTAATTTGCGCAGCACACCATATTTGCCTAGCGCCTTGTGTAGGAAAATGGTGTGTTGTGTATGCTTATTTTCAAAATAACTTAATATTTTCATGGTATGAAATCTTTAAAATTTAGGCTTCTTCCTTTCATCAAATCTTTTTTCCTATTCTAACAAACTTCAAGACCTCTTTTAGTACTGAATATCACTAGGCCAAATGATCATCAATCTTATCTCTTAAATTTCGATGGTAAATTTGTCATTCTAACGCTGTATTAGATAGCTCCAACAATGTTGAATCAGAAGTTTATGTAACCACCAAAAATACCGAATGCAATCATGCATGCTTATCTCACCACAAAGATCAAAAGGGTTAGGATTTTAAGCCAGCAAGTTGGGGACTTTGGGAAGTTACGGGAGAAGAAGGCTAGCTCTATAACACTAGCACCTCAAGAAGGCTAGCTCTACAACACTAGCTACTCTTTATACTGTGGTGGTTAATTCAGTAAGCGCAGTTGACTTGACAAATAATCTAGCTGCTGCTCCAATTTTCCACAGTAGGAGTCTGATATTTCTAAATTCGGATCCCTTTGAAAATTTAAGTAAGAAGAGCATCAAATTTGTGGCTGATCGTCACCATGCATGTACAGTACAAGGAGAAAGAAACACTTGGGCTTTTAGACTAGAACCGATTAGCAAGGACCACATTTATATAGAATGAATAAATATTTAGGAAACTAGATATTAATCTTTGAAAAAGATTTAGTTTAGAATAATACCGTATGCAAGATTAATAATTGAATTAAGTCCTTGACCAAATAACCACGTCAGCCTACATAATTTCACATTAGGTTGTCATTTATTTCTTTGTTGGTTTATGTTTTATTCTTCCAATTATACCCTTTTGTGAATGTTTGTAACGAAGATGTTTTTTTTTTTTTTTTTTTTTTGTTAACAATCATAGGACGTCATTTATTATAGCTTTTTTTTTTTAGGATGTATAATGTATATCATGATACTTTGCAGTAGTTTTTTTTATTCTCATTCCAATTTCAAACTGATTTTAGTTTATATTTTAGAAATTAGTAATTCATTTTCTAAAATTAAGAGGGCTATGTATATAGTATTTGTAATGCCATCACTATTTTTTTACCATGGAACCTAAGTTACAAATATTTAAGCGCATTTGACTAGATCCTATGATTTAAGGTGCACCCACTATGATTACATATTTACATATGCGGTACTATGATTACAGTATCTAGTATGATTACATATATGTAGGTGCACCTACTATGATTAAATATTTACATATGCACCTAAATATGTAATCATACTATGATTTAGTCGAATGCACCTACTATGATTACATATTTAGGTGCATTCGTTTACTGCATTCATGTAGGTACTATGATTTGAGTGCATTCGTGTAGGTACTATGATGTAGGTGCATTCAAATAGATAACATATTTAGGTGCATTCAACTAGATACTGTGATTTAGGTGCATTGTAGTAGGTACCATAGTTTACGTGCATTCAACTTGGTACTATGATTTATGTACATTCGACTACGTACTATGATTTAAGTACATTAGGACATGATTTAAGTGCATTCGATTTTGTATAATATATGATTTGGGTATTTTTATTTCCTCTATGCTTTGGATGATGATAATGAATAATTTGAATTAGGTATTTGTTTAATTCTTGTAACGTATCACTAATAGTTTTTTGGACGTCTAGATGAGGTATATTTATTGTTTGAGAAAGTCAAACAATAATCAATGCCAAACAATATGGAGCAAAATAAAACCAAATATTTAATATGGGCATTATGGGAACAAAAAAAAGATTAAATCTTTAAAAAAAATATATGAATTTTAGTATTTATGCTGACATGGAAATATAGTCAAGGGAATATAATGAATATATAACCTAACATAAGGTTTTAATTGAATTTCAATCTTTATCAAGGATTAAAATAAAGAAACCCCATAAATATTCTTGATGGCGGTCAATTAGGGCAAATGGGCGTGCAGGGACGAGTTTTCATTCTCAACTAAGCAAAACGCGTTCTTACAGCCCATATTTTTTGACATTTCATTCAGATGTTAGTGACTATGTATGTTCACCTAATTCTTCACAAAAAATAATAAGAAAATGGTTGACTGCAATTATACATGGAGCTTAAAAGGAGTGTTAGGTCAGATCCATGAGTTTCTGCAACTGCTTTCCTTAATAATGATGTAAGGAATTAGCAAATATATTTTGACACATACTGATCATACAAAATTGTCAGCTTCGGCACACGTGTGGAATAATTTGTTTTTTTTAATGAAATGATACAAAAATGTGCATCCCAATTTGTGTATAGCAGTGGTGAAAATTAATCATGCATATGCATTTTGGTTCGGGTTCGAACTTTACCGATTACTCTTCTCCAACTAACTATTTAACACATTAACACTATCATTGTACTAAAAAAATATTCTCAAAAAAGCTTCTGGTTTGAACTCTACCAATTACTCTCCCCCAACTAACTATTTAACCTACCAAGATTACTATGCTCAATGAAATATTCTCAAAAAAACTTTTTAAAAAATCGACCAAAAGAATTAATAAAGGGATCCGAAAAAGAGGATATAAAAGAATATCTTCGAACTGCTAATAAAAAACTCCAGCAGAAAAAAAAGGATTCAAGTGAATTACAGATATGACTTGTTTGATTTAAATTAGAGAGTATTTAACTTGTAAAGCATGATTATGACTTATCCTTTGAGAAGCAAAATGAGTCAACCGGGGGCCCATTGGGGCAGGCACGCGTGCGTCGACACTGGGGCCTCTCAAACTTTGGCTAAGCTCGACAACAGTCAAATGGCCCTGAGATTTGAGGGACGGGTTTTCCTTCAATTTTTGTCATTTCTCGTAGCTAACACGACGAAGCCAGCCAGACCGCCCACCTCTCATCCAATCACAGCCGTCCAATCTCATAACCAAATCATGGGCGGCATCCTTGTTCATTAAATAATCCATTATCCAAAACGTGGTCGTCCTGCAAAATAGAGGGAAAAGTAGAAGAAAAACCATGGTAATCCCGCAGGACAATTAGAAATGTGAATTAATTAGGAGGCCAGATTAAGCGATCTAGGGAGAGAAGATTTGAACACAGTATTACAAGTATAAAGATAAACATTCTATAG